GTACGATGGTGGAAAGATAAATAGATGGCGGAAAGATAAATTATAGATGGTGGAAAGATAAATAGATGGTGGAAAGATAAATAGATGGTGGAAAGATAAATAGATGGCGGAAAGATGAATAGGTGGAAAGATAGATAGATGGTGGAAAGATAGATAGATGTTGAAAAGAAGGATAGATAGATGGTGGAAAGATCGATTAATGGTGGAAAGATAGATAGATTTTGGGAAGATAGATAGACGGTTTAAAGATAGATAGATGGTGGAAAGATAGATAGATGGTGGAACGCGAGTAAAAATTTTGTTAAATTATCTTTCTTAAATATATTTTGTCAATACTGAAGACTCATGAAACAATAAAGAACTTTCTTCACTTACTCATTCATTCATCATCCATCATACTGTATCATCTTTTAAACCTCTAGAATACTGCCTAATTCTTGTCCAATTCATTCATCGTATATCCTATAGCCTTTCAATCCAATATTCTCTCTATCCTCTAACCAGTACCCCATATCCTTTATCCGCCATCTTCCATACTATATCATATTATCTTCTATTCACTATATTCTGTACTGTATCCTTTTATATCTATCCACTATATATCCTCAATCCCCTATTTTTCAGGCCAGCATTCTCAATTCTCCATCCTATATCTATCCTCTATCTATACTCTATCTATCCTCTATCTATCCTCTATATATCCTCTATCTATTCTCTATCTATCCTCTATCCATCCTCTATCCATCCTCTATCTATCTTCTATCTATTCTCTATCTATCCTATATCTATCCTCTATTTTCTATTCTTTATTTTCTATCCTCTATTCACTATTAACTATCTTTTATCCTAAATTGCAATTCTCTTAACCGAATCCTCTATCCACTATCCTCAATCAAATATCCTGAATTCTCATTCCAGTATCCTGAATTCTCATTCCAGTATCCTGAATTCTCATTCCAGTATCCTGAATTCTCTATCCAGTATCCTGAATTCTCTATCCAGTATCATCTGTCCTCTATCCTCAATCCTCTATTCACTATACTCTATCCTCTATCCTCTATACTCTATACTCTATCCTCAATTCACTATCCTCTATCCTCAATCCACTATCCAGCATTCTTTATCCACTATCCAGCATTCTTTATCCACTATCCAGCATTCTTTACCCACTATCCAGCATTCTTTATCCACTTTCCACTATCCTCTGTTCACTTTCCACTATCCTATATCCACTTTCATCTATCCCTTATACTTAAACTGCATGTCTATCTGCTTTCTTCTATCCTCCATCATCTTATCCAGCATCCCCTATATACACATCCTCTATCCTCTATCTGCTGTCTTGTATCTTCCATCATCTTATCCAGCATCCCCTATATACACATCCTCTATCCTCTATCTGCTGTCTTCTATCTTCAATCATATATCCAGCATCCCATATATATACTATATCCTCAATCATCTATCTGCTGTCTTCTATCTTCAATCATATATCCAGCATCCCATATATATACTATATCCTCAATCATCTATCTGCTGTCTTCTATCTTCAATCATATATCCAGCATCCCATATATATACTATATCCTCAATCATCTATCTGCTGTCTTCTATCTTCAATCATATATCCAGCATCCCATATATATACTATATCCTCAATCATCTATCTGCTGTCTTCTATCTTCAATCATATATCCAGCATCCCATATATATACTATATCCTCAATCATCTATCTGCTGTCTTCTATCTTCAATCATATATCCAGCATCCCATATATATACTATATCCTCAATCATCTATCTGCTGTCTTCTATCTTCAATCATATATCCAGCATCCCATATATATACTATATCCTCAATCATCTATCTGCTGTCTTCTATCTTCAATCATATATCCAGCATCCCATATATATACTATATCCTCAATCATCTATCTGCTGTCTTCTATCTTCAATCATATATCCAGCATCCCATATATATACTATATCCTCAATCATCTATCTGCTGTCTTCTATCTTCAATCATATATCCAGCATCCCATATATATACTATATCCTCTATTCTGTATCCCCTAACCTCTTTCCTGTATATCCCATATCCTCTAACCACTATCTAGTATTTTGATTTAGTATCATTAGTCTCAGCACTCTGTCACAAATGCTTTTTCCATATCATTAATTTTATGCTTACACTTCAGGAGAGTGGGAAAGGTTTTTATCTCAGAAAAAGTTAGTGGGGTGTTTGGGGGAGGGGGGGTACAGTGAGTGAATTCAGAAGTCGGATTGGGGGGGGGGGGGGCGGTGTGAGAGAAACATGCAGCTTAGGAAATGGTCGTTCATATTATATTTTCAAATATATAGTGTTTTCAGGTCTTGATGGATTTTTCTTAAAGGAGCTGTAGACGTAATTTCAAGTGCCTCTCCTTTTATAAAGCAGCATATCCAATATACAATGGTACACTTGAAACCTTTGTCTAGAGTCAATTATGACGGAGGTTTCCTTATTTTCTAGCTTTAAGCTGAATGCTGCCGGTAACAATGTAAGGTCACATGCGGGGGAGGAGTGTACGAAGTGTACACTGTACACTGTACAATCTATACACAACAAAGACGATCTCAATTTATTTTTGATAAATCCTTGCATGCATTGTATATTAGTAGAAGATTAAAATAGTGTCTTCAAGTTACTTCCATAATATTACAATATCAGGTACTACCATGAAGAATTATCAATTGAAACAAATTATTTATTTTCAATGTTAAACAAAGAAAACGACTCGCGGAACTCTATCTTCAGCTAGAAAAATAATGATATCTCTGCCGTACTGGATCAGTAAAATGTTTAAAAAGGCAACGTTCGGCCATGTTACTCGTCTACAGTCCCTTAAATTGATTTAGTCATTATTAAGTCACTAATTGGGTCCAATTTTTTCAGTCTTGTGTATTCTTATCTCACATTTATCATATTCATGCTAAGTTTAAAGTTTGCTGTTGAAAATAAGAAAAATGTTATTTTGCTTATTTTCTTCCTGCAGCACATGCATTCTCTCGCTCTTTTGTACTCAAGGAGATACAAGCTTTAAATTAATCTTTCCGAACTCAAGCTTATTCTAAACTTTTCATAGAGGAGTTGAGTCTTTGTCACAAACCCTGATTTCCTAATCTTTGAATCTTTGTAATCCAATGTCGTAGACTTTAGATATTTCAAACTATGAATTCCGTTAGATCAAATAATCTAAGTCTAAAATATTCAAAATGTAAACCATCAGGTTGCAAAGATATAAGGATTAAAAATTTGAGTTTTGTGACAAAGACACATTTCTTTTGATTTTAAGTTTTTAATAACAGTTACCTATATCTCATGAGATAGATTAGACCTATTTAACAATTTCTGTTTGTTTACACATTTACTAATAAACAATTCCATCTAAACGTTTCCCATCCTTTGTAATTATCCTCCCTCCCTCACCGACCCTTCTTACCCCCCCCCCCCCCCCCCCCCCCCCCCCCCCCCCGCCCCTCAACCCTATACTCCTCCTTCCTACTCTATCCACCCAGTCTAACTCTCCACCCCATGCCATGTATGTAATTACAGGCATGAAAAAATATTCCAAATATATTTAATCATTTACATATTTCGATATTATATTTTGTTATCTTATACTTGTATCTTTATTGATTTTAAACTTTATTTCAAGTGGTTTATGTCCGACTCTCAACGATACTCTGAAAAGATTTTTCTGATCAGGAATCCATCATGTTCTATAAAAAATGATTATCTATCGGTTGTGGTTCCTCCACGAACCAAGATCTGCAGCACTTACACGAAAATCGAGCAGTATTTGGCCAAATACTCCTTTTAAACTTAAGCTAGAAAAAAGCACGTAGCATTTTTAAAATGTAAATGTAAAGTTTACAAAACAGAAATGTGAGTTGAAGATGTAAAACCAAAGCTCAGACTATTACAAAAAAAGAAATGTGAGTTGGAGATGTAAAACCAAAGCTCAGACTATTGCAAAAAAGAAATGTGAGTTGGATATGTAAAACCAAAGCTCAGACTGTTGCAAAAAAGAAATGTGAGTTGAATATGTAAAACCAAAGCTCAGACTGTTGCAAAACTTTAAAGTCGAGGCTTTCTTAAAATTTGATGAACAACTTTCAGAGTTGTCAAGATCTCAGTGATGCACTTCAGAAATTATGGAGGAAATTGTAAGAATTAAACACTTTTTAGGTTAAAAACCGACAATATCTTCCACAGTTCAGTATTGATTAGATAAAGGTTTAAAGGGTACCGTTGTGAATTGGACATGGCAATGGAAGACCACTTGAAATTTCAAAGTCTGTTCCTTTCAGTGAAGACATGTACAAACATATTTAAATTTGGCTCATTATATAGACTCATTATATAGACTTATTATATAGACTCATTATATAGACTCATTATATAGACTCATTATATAGACTCATTATATAGACTCATTATATAGACTCATTATATAGACTCATTATATAGACTTATTATATAGACTTATTATATAGACTTATTATATAGACTCATTATATAGACTTATTATATAGACTCATTATATAGACTCATAATATAGACTCATTATATAGACTCATTCTAGACTCATTATAAACAATTGATAAATTATTTCGTGCTGCCATTAAATAATATGATCATTTTGTAAATAATAATTTTTTTCAGCCGTAAACTAAGACTTGAAAAGTTAAAATTGTAAACCTTTTTCTAGGAGATCTTAAATGATTACGCTAAAATTGGTACTTTTTAGTTTATTGAAAATAAAATGAATAAAAAGGAACAGAAATCCCCTGTAAACACGTTTTGGTTTGACTCTCCTCCAAACTTCTGTCATAATTCCAACCCCCCATAATCATCAACAAAAAGTTGTAGAACTAAACCATCTCTTTTATCTTTTATTTAAATCATTCTTAAAATATGATGAAGCGAGAGTACATGAAAAAGAAAATGCACTAGACAACCAGATATCTTGTTAGCTAATGTTACATAATATTCGGTTACAAAATAAATGTGAAAACAGTAAACAACACCTTCACGGGTAAACTATACAATGTTTAGTTTGTAGTAAATCTGTTACTATTTTCTTAATGAATATTTTTATTTAATGTTAGCAAAGATTGGGTTTAAAAATGAAAACTACAACATGTAATTGTAAAAAGAAACTGAGATTAGCCACAAAAAAGAGAACACAACACGGGGGATAAAAGTCTATTTTCTTTTGTTATTTTTGTTTTCTCCTTTCTACTCTTTAGGAGAGAAAAGTTTCGTTTACCCTGTGATTTTTTCTCCTTTTTGTTAGATTTGTTTTGAGCAGTTTGAGTAGTTTTGAGTAAAAATATTTCTACAAAAGGATCAACTAAATTATTCTTTTATTCTTTTACAAAGCTCTTCATGTTCCTCAACAACTACTACTGTCTAACTCAGAACTTATTTTCTCTTTTGTATTTCTACTTGAGGAATGTTTCAGATTTTGAAAATTGATTGTTCTTAAAAAGTTCTTAATATTCGCAAAAGAACTGAACTCATCACAAATTCTAATTTTCAATTTTTTTATATCTTTTTAACCTGATTCGTCATGAATTATGTTAGATCAAATAGTTAAGGTTTGACATATCAAAGGTTTTCGCCAGAAGGTGCATGGTCAAGATATTATTAGAGATTTTAAAACTGGAGTTTGTATTTAGTTTCTTAATCAAAAATTTCTTTTTTGTTCATCGATTTAGAATAAAAGCAAAACAAAATATAATAAAAAAAACATGGTTTAAATTATTTTTATTTTACTTTATTTGCATTTGCATTTATAAAATAAAGAGTAAGCGGATTTGTTTATAAAATTCTGTTTATCCTGCCGTTTTTGTGGGAAAACAAACTCTAAATTACCTAGTTTGATATTTTACAGAACCCTAGCAATATTTATTTACATTATCATCGGAAAGTAACTTTTCTAGAATGGAGAGAGGAGGGGACGGGGAAGATGGATAAAATAATATTTTTCTAGATATGTACAAGATTATTCAAAGAAACTGATTACTTCTCTCTCATATTTTAAAATTCAATAACTTATATCTTTGCAACCTAATTTTGTACACCTTTGATATTTAAACTATAAAAACTGGTAGAGAAAACAGTAAAGTTTGGAATGTTTTTTACCATCAGGTTATAAAGGGTTAAATTAAAGGGGCTTATTTATTATCCAATCATAATGGAACTAATATCACAATATCTCCAGGAATAAGGACTACATGGTTAAAAATTCTTAGATTTGTTCAACCCTGCTCTGAATGACGGCTTTTTATCTCATAGGATTGGATTGTTTTATTGCTATAGAGAAAGAAGTTGATTTTACGATTTCTTAGCGCATTTTGTACTTTCTAACACTTTTACATTTTTTACATATTTATATTTTTCTTTCTTATACAGAGCATTATACAACAATACCCAGGTTCATTGACTATTTTAGCTCAAATATAAATTTGTTGAGCGATTTAATGTTTAATATATAAGTAAGGATAATTTGAAACTAGAAAATTCTCTTTTATGTTGAGTTCATGAATAATTATATAATTTGATAAAGTTTTTGAAACGAGAGAACCCAATTTAACAATATTTTAAGATGAAAATATCTGATTTCTAAATTTTTAAAATAGTCCTATAAATATAAATATAATAATAAATAATAATAAATATAAATAATATCAGTTCATTTTTACTTAAGTTATTGAAATCATTAAGAAATTAAATGTTGAAGAGATAACTATGTCATGAAATTCTGATCCTAATTGCTCAATTTATTTACTGGATTGCTTTTGATACCTAATAATGAATGTGTGTAGCTATTTATAATCATTTATAAGAGCAAAATTGTCCCAAGGCGAATATAATTAGATTCGTGTATTCAAGATAAAATAGTTTACCTGGAGTGATCCAAGAAACGTTTCTCTGGGTTTAGAGAAAGCCAGAAAAACTGATAACCATTATATAATATTGTTTTGGAGATTTTTAACTGAACTCTAAGGAACGGTTAGAGAGCTCGTTGGAAGGACGGAGAAAATTAGAGTGTTGTCTGTAACAAGGTTGTGAGGAGACTCCGGTGCCAGTCCGGAGTCGGTCTCTGCTCATGCTCAGATTATCCTCACAGCACACCAGAATAACCAGGAGAACCAAGGGAACCAGAAGAACCTATATAGAACCGAGAGTACCAGGAGCTCCTGAAGAACTAAGGGAACCAAATGAACCAAAATACGATAATCATAAGATTCATGACAAAGATAGCTAAGATAGCCATGGGAACCAGGAGAGCTAAGAGAAAGTAGAAAAAACAGGAGAACCAAGAAAACTAATCGTTCATGCAAGAGATTAAGAAGATGCAAGATATCAAGAAGATGCAAGAGATTATAAAGAATGAGGGACCCAGCAGAACCAGACTTTATGAGATATAAAACCGGGATATGCAAGGAAACCAGGGGATTCTAAGAGAGCCAGGGAATCCTAAGAGAGCCAGGGGATCCTAAGAGAGTCAGAGGATCCTAAGAGAGTCAGAGGATCCTAAGAGAGCCAGGGGATCTTAAGAGAGCCAGGGGATCTTAAGAGCCAGGAGATCTTAAGAGCGAGGGGATCCTAAGAGAGCCAGGAAATCCTAAGAGAGCCAGTGGATACTAAGAGAGCCATGGGGTCCTATGAGATCAGGGGATCCAAAAAGAGCCAGGGGATCCTAAGAGAGCCAGTGAATTCTTAGAGAGCCATGGGATCCTAAGAGAGCCAGGGGATCCTAAGAGAGTCAGGGGATCCTAAGAGAGCCAGTGGATCCTAAGAGAGCTAGGGGATCCTAAGAGAGCCAAGGGGTCCAAAGAGATCAGGGGGATCCTAAGAGAGCCAGGGGTCCTAAGAGAGTCAGAGGATCCTAAGAGAGCCAGGGAATCCTAAGTGAGCCAGGGATTCTAAGAGAGCCAGGGGATCCTAAGAGAACCAGGGGATCCTAAGAGAGTCAGGGGATCCTAAGAGAGCCCAGAGGATCCTTAGAGAGTCAGAGGATCCTTAGAGAGTCAGGGGATCCTAAGAGACCCAGAGGATCCTAAGAGAGTAAGAGGATCCAAAGAGAGTCAGGGGATCCTAAGAGAGCCAGGGGATCCTAAGAGAGCCAAGGGATCCTAAGAGAGCCAGGGGATCCTAAGAGAGTCAGGAGATCCAAAGAGAGCCAGGGGATCCTAAGAGAACCAGGGGTCCTAAGAGATCAGGGGATCCAAAAAGAGCCAGGAGATCTTATGAGAGCCAGTGGATTCTTGGAGAGCCAGGGGATCCTAAGAGAACCAGGGGTCCTAAGAGAGCCAAGGGATTCTAAGAGCCAGGGGATCCTAAGAGAGCCAGTTGATCCTAAGAGAAATAGGGGTCCTAAGAGTCAGGGGATCCAAAAAGAGCCAGGAGATCTTATGAGAGCCAGTGGATTCTTGGAGAGCCATGGGATCCTAAGAGAGCCAGGGGATCCTAAGAGCCAGGGAATCCAAAGAGAGCCAAGGGATTCTAAGAGCCAAGGGATCCTAAAAGAGCCAGGGGATCTTATGAAAGCCAGGGGATTCTAATAGGCAGGGGATCCTAAGAGAGCCAAGGGATTCTAAGAGCCAGGTGATCCTAACATAGCCAGGGGATCCTAAGAGAGCCAGGAGATCCTAAAAGCCAGGGGATCCTTAGAGCTATGAAAATTACAAGGTCCAAGATAACTAATTGAAACAATAGAATTATGGGAACATGGAAAAGGATCCTACCAAAACATTAGTAAAAGAGAAAGTTTATTTAGCCGTTCTCCGTCCATCTTCTTCTTTTTATTCATAAATTCTACTTACAACTCAGGAGAAATAAGTGAGGAAGAAGGAAATATCAACAGAAATATACTTCAATATAAGCGGTAAAAGGGGCTGTAAAGATATTTATACAATTTCCAAACAGCAAACAACATCTTCCACGGTTTCCATTCATATATGTCTTCTTACAAGCCGAGTGTCTCCATGAACTCTGAATTCTCTGTGAACCATGAACCTTGAATTCTCCTTGAACCCTGAATTCTCAGTGAACCCTTGTTTCTTTTTGAACCCTTAAGTTTCCATTAACCCTGAGTTCTTCTTGAACCATGAATTCTCCGTGAACCCTGAAATCTAAATTCTCTGAATTCCGTGAACCCTGAATTCTTCTTGAACCCTGAATTCTCCGTGAACCCTGAATTCTCAGTGAACACTGAATTCTTCTTGAACCATGAATTCTCCGTGAACCCTTAATTCTCCCTGAAACCTAAATTCTCTGAATTCCGTGAACTCTGAATTCTTCTTGAACCATGAATTCTCCGTGAACCCTTAATTCTCCCTGAAATCTAAATTCTCTGAATTCCGTGAACCCTGAATTCTTCTTGAAACCTAAATTCTCCGTGAACCCTGAATTCTCCGTGAACCCTTAATTCTCCCTGAAACCTAAATTCTCTGAATTCCATGAACCCTGAATTCTTCTTGAACTCTGAATTCTCCGTGAACCCTGAATTCTCAGTGAACCCTGAATTCTTCTTGAACCCTGAATTCTCCGTGAACACTGAATTCACCGTGAACCCTGAACTCTCCAAGAATCCTGAATTCTCCATGAACCCTGAATTCTTCTTTAACTCTGAATTCTTCTTGAACCCTGAATTCTCCGTGAACCCTGAATTCTCCATGAACCCTGAATTCTTCTTGATCTCTGAATTCTTCTTGAACCCTGAATTCTCCGTGAACCCTGAATTTTCCGTGAACCCTGAATTCTTCGTGAACCCTAAATTCTTCTTGAACCATGAATTCTCCGTGAACCCTGAATTCTCCGTGAACCCTGAATTCTCCCTGAACCCTGAATTTTTCTTGAACCCTGAATTCTCCGTGAAACCTGAATTCTCCGTGAACCCTGAATCCTTCTTGAACCCTGAATTCTCCGTTAACCCTGAATTCTCCGTGAACCCTGAATTCTCCGTGAACCCTGAATTCTCCGTGAACCCTGAATTCTCCCTGAACCCTGAATTCTCCGTGAACCCTGAATGCTCCTAGAAACCTGAATTCTTCTGGAACCCTGAATTCTTCGTGAACCCTAAATTCTTCTTGAACCATGAATTCTCCGTGAACCCTGAATTCTCCGTGAACACTGAATTCATCGTGAACCCTGAATTCTCCATGAACCCTGAATTCTTCTTGAACCCTGAATTCTCCGTGAACCCTGAATTCTCCGCGAACTCTGAATTTTCCGTGAACATTTAATTCTCCGTAAACCCTGAATTCTTCTTGAACCCTGATTTCTCCGTGAACCTTGAATTCTCCATGAACTCCAAATAGATGGAAATAATGATAAATAGGTTCTAGTATTAATAATGAAACAATTTGACTACGGCCGGAATGCTCCTATAGTCTTTTTAATCAATGAGTTAAAATTTGAAATATCAAAGTTCACACCATAAGGATGCAAAGATATATGGATTAGAAAATTTAAGAATTTGCTATCCTGCGCAGTGAGAAAAAATGCTGTAAACTAGTTGTTGATTAATGGATAATAGATGACTCACCATTGCGTACCAAGAGGGGGAACGTATGGCTCATTATGCCACGAAGATAACAGATTAGATAGATGGAGGGAGGGATTGATATTAGAATAGGTAGAATGAAGGATAACTGAATGGATATATAGATAGTACAAGTGTGGAATGGATAGATAGGGCTAGAGAGATGGAAGAAAAGAGAAGAGGAGAAAAATGTAGTCATGGATAGATACAAAATGGGTGGGCGTGTACGTGTGACCCCCCAACCCCAGTTACAGCCCTGGGTGGTAACATGGTAAAAATATTTGGATGGCAGGTGGATATTTGGCTAGAACGGATAGACAAAGAAATTCATTGAGAGAAATATATATTTGTAAATGGACAGATGTTTAAGTGGATGAAGATGTGGAGTGAAGGTTGGTGAATACTGAATAGATGATTTTTATAAATGGATAAATAAATAGACATTGGATAATCACAATCATGAAAGGGCTAAAATGCGTTTTTAATTCTTTTTGATCATTTAATAGAGTTTATTCTGTTCCTAATTGAATTGAGGAAGTGCACATAAAACAAGAAAATATATTAAAACATTTCTAAATTGTCAATGTGAAATCGTAAATTTGCAATAAATTTAAATTGACATATCGACAGTGTCAGGAGTGTCAGAGGTACAGAGGGGATAAGATAAGATAAGATAAAGTTTATTGCTAAAATAAATGTATCTGTATACAGATAGAGTTTACAATCACAAAATTGATGATTATATTAACAGTACAAGTATAAGGCAATTAGGTGGAAAATAGCTCTTGGCTGTTTTGATTACTTTTTCCACCTAATTTTAGTAATAATAACAAAATATTTCAATTAAATAGTTTTAAGGAGAACGATTAGAGATCAGGGTGCAAATTTATCATATGCAAAATAGTTTATACATTAATTCGAATAACTAGAGTTTAAAGTAATTTTCTGACATGTACACAACAAATATCAAAGCATATTAAAACATATCTAATTAGTTTTACATGAATAGCAATTCGGTTTATAACAACACATTGTCCTATAATTTTCAAAAAGAGAATTTAGTAGTCTATTTTTAAATATGCTTAGAGAGTTGCTTTTTTTTAAGTCAAGAGGCAGGTTATTAAGAAGAGAGCTTGATGGTAAATACTGTAATGAGCACATTTTGAGAATGTCAAGTTGATAGTTAAGAGATCTTTCAAAGGTTCCAAGCTTTTTAAAAATATTTTCAAAAGATGCAGGAAGAAGTTTATATGTATATTTATACATAAATATAGCTTGGTTAAAGTCTACCAGATCATTCATCTTTAGAATCTTATACTTAAGGAAAAGAGGATCACTATGAGACGTGGCTTTTGAGTTATCAATTAATCGTATTGCTCGTTTCTGTAAAATGTGAATTTGTTTCATTTCAGAACATTTATTACATCCCCGGCTGAAATTCCATATTCAATAAATGATCGAAATAAAGAGAATGTCGGACAAAACGAAAAAATATGACAAAAATAACATTTATTGGAA